GACCAAGGCTGATGCGGAAGTTGTGGTCCATACAGTTCTCAGGGGCTCAGATTCCTTATACCTCATTTCTCTGCGGCCTTTAGTGTATTAGTTTCCTAGAGCTGCTGTAACAAGGTACCACAAACTGGGTGGCTTAAAGAACAGAAAAGTATTGTCTCCCAGTTCCGGGGGCTGGAAGTCTGGGATGAAGGAGCCGACAGGGTTGGTTCTTTCTGGGGGCTGGAAGAATGCGTCTCGTCCAGGCTTCTCCCCTAGTTTCTGTTGGTTTTCTGGCAACCTTGGGCATTCCTTGGCTTGTAGAGTATCTCTTCCTTCATCTTCATATTCATATAGTGTTCTCTGGGTGTGTGTCTCTTTGCCCACATTTCCCCTTTTCATAAGGACACCAGTCATATTGGATTAGGGGCTCCCTCTACTTTAGTATGACCTTCTTACCTAATTACATCTGCAGTGACCCTATAACATCACATTCCAAATAAGGTCACGTTCTGAGGGGGTTAGGACTTGGACATGTGAATTTAGGGGAGACACAATCCAACCCATAACATTGAGGGTATGGTCAAAGATAGCAGCTAGAGATCCAGCCATCACATTTACATTCAGGGTCTTCTTAAAGGGCCCATCCTTGCAGGTCCTTTTGCACATTAATTTGAATATTTGCTCTGGAGGGTGTCTCAAAGCAGCCTAGCACAAACAGATTCTGGTTCTGAGGTGGTCATTGGAGAGTTGTTCTCCTAAAGAGGACACTGGCCACTTGTTAGCAATGCCTCCTCTTCAGAAGTGGGGGTCAGAGAAAAGCCTCGCTGAGGATTGAGGAGAGGGAGAGGGAAGCTTGTTGCTTCTCCTCAGATCATTCCAGAAGGACTTCATGGAGGAGAAAGGGTTTCAGGAGGCATTTACAGGACCAAGTTGCTAGGGCCATCTGGCTCATTTCCCACAGGTTAGTTTCAACTATGACATCCTACAGACCTGCCAGCAGGATTCATTGCCACCTTTCATTTCTTCTGTGCTTTCACCCCCTCTCCCTTTTGTAGTATCTGTTCTGCTGGGGGTTGTGGTTATTGTGGGCTTGCCTCCTCTATTAGACAATATGTTCCTCAAGAGGAAACAAAGCGCCTTTGAAGTCTGATAGCTCTCGTAGAGGTGGTGGTGGTGGGATTCATAGCTTCAATCTCAGCTCCAGCACTTATTAGCCGTAGGAATCTGACCCCCCAGAACCTTAGTTTTATCATCTGAAAAGTGTGGTAACAGTATTTACCTTACAGTGTCATTATGATCATTAAAAATAACAAATGCAAGTGCTTGGGCTAGAGCAGATGCTCAATGGTAACTATTGGGTTGGGCCAAAAGTTCATTCGGGTTTTCCTTACATCTTATGGAAAAACCCGAACGAACTTTTTGGCCAACCCAGTATTAATGGTTGTCAGAGCTTATCTCCAGGGCCCAGCACAGGGCGTCTTGTAGAGTAAGCACTCAATAAATATTTGTTGCCCCAGTGGAAACTTAGATCATGACTATAGCCCTGTGCTATCCTCAGATCTGGAAACGATAATTAAAAAAGCCATCACAGTAACTATAAAACACAAGACGTTGGAAAAGAAAGGTATCAAATGTGGGGAGAAATAAATACATTTAATGTAAAAAGAAACACCCGAAGGACATAATAAGTACACATGTATCATTTACAAGTCAAAAGACTCTAGTGTCACTGATGGAATAAACAGGACAATATGGCTTGAGGAATCCCTTACACACAGGAGCCAGATCTGACTCAGACCTCTGATTGCAGGTCTGAGGGCAAACCCTCAAACACAGCTAGTGACAGCCCAGGAAAGCCCTCTGAAAGAGAATTATTAAGTGTGACCTTGGATGACAGCAGATAATAAACTACAGGTAATGGTACTAGAGTAAGAATCTTTCCCTGTGATTTGGGGCTACAAATTTTATGGTGTCTGATCACAGGAAATGTCTCCCAAAGCATTAAACTCTCCCACACTTGAAATATTTTCATTGCTAAAAGTGCAAGGTCAACAGAGCTGGACACCTTACCTATCTTTGGGAAGATGCATTTTGAATTTCTTTCAAAAAGATATTACACAGATATTTTTGAAGAGCAGCCCAGCCATAACTCAAGATGGCCTGTGGCTATAAAATGAACTATCTGGTATTGGCCTCTAGATGTCTTCTAAAGCAGTGCTGTCAACAGAACTTCCTATGAGGATGTTCTATATCTGCTCTGTCCAATATGGTAGCCACTAGCCACATAGCTATTTAAATTTAAATTAAATTAAAAATTCAGTTCACTGGTACACTATCAAGAATAATCATAAAGCTGTAGTAATGAAGACCATGTGGTATTGGTGCAAAGATAGACAAAACCAACCTATCAAACAGAATAGAGTGGGAAATAGGTCTACACATATGTGGTCACCCAACTTATGATAACTGCAAATGGAGGGAAGTGATCTTTTAAATAACCACGCTGGATTCATTGGATAGCCACATAGAAAAAAAGATGTGTGGACCCAGTTTTATATCCCATCACTCACAACAATCAGTTCAAAATGGATTACAATTCTAAATGGGCAAACTAAAGCTTTTGGAGCAAAACAGAGAAGGAATATTCATAACCTGGAGTAGGCAGAGATTTCTTAAATAAAACCAGTCACCATCAAAAGTTGATACATTGGAGTATTAAAACTAAGAACTTTTGGGGGGCTTCCCTGGTGGCACAGGGGTTAAGAAACCACCTGCCAATTCAGGGGACACGGGTTCGAGCTCTGGTCCGGGAAGATCCCACATGCCACGGAGCAACTAAGCCCGTGTGCCACAACTACTGAGCCTGTGCTCTAGAGCCACGAGCCACAACTACGGAGCCCACGTGCCACAACTACTGAAGCCCATGCGCCTAGAGCCCATGTTTCACAACAAGAGAAGCCACTACAATGAGAAGCCTGCGCACTGCAACGAAGAGTAGCCCCCGCTCGCAGCAACTAGAGAAAAGCCTGCGTGCAGCAACGAAGACCCAACGCAGCCAAAAATAAATAAAATTTAAAAAAATACAACTAAGAACTTTTCCCCCTCAAAGGACATCCTTAAAAGAATGAAAAGGAACTCAGAATTGGAGGAGATATTTGCAACACATACACTTGATAAAGGATGCATATAAAAAAAGTCCTCGTATAATGGATAAACTGGTGTACTTATCCAGCGGAATACTACTCAGCAGTAAAAAGAAATGAATTACTGACACATGCAACAACATGGAGGAGTACAGTATGCTGAGTGAAAGAAGTCACAAAAGAGCACATACTGTATGATTCTAGTTATATGAAATTCTGAAACAGGGTAAAGCTAATCTACAGCAGGGAAAAAAATAAATCCGAACTGTCATTGCCCCCAGGAAAGTGGAAATGGAGAATGACTTGGGAGGTGGCATTGAAAAACTCCTTTGCTCAAAACTCAGCAGATCTCCACTGAAGATTTGTGCATTTAGTGTAAGTTTTACATTACACTAATTTGATGTAAGTTTTACATCAAAACAAACCTTAAATACTGAATTCTAATTAATTACATATATGCTGAAGCATTTAGAGGACATGTATTGCTATCTGCAATTAACTTTGAAATGCAACAACATGAAGATGGATAAAGAGGATAGAAATGTAATAAAGCAGGTGCTATAGAATATTAATGGTAGAATCTGTGTGGTAGGTTTACTTGTGTTTACTGTAAAATTCCTTAAACTTTGCTAAATACTTGAAAATTTTTTATAATCAAATGTTAGGAAAAATCAAATAAAAAACAACTCAGAAAAATGGGCAAAGAATTGAACAGAAATTTCATAAAGGTATTTCTAAATAACCAGTAAACATATGACTAGGTGCTCAAATTCATTAATCAGGGAGATGCAAATTAAAATCACAGGAGACATAATTGTCAGCCACCAAAATGGCCAAAATGAAAAAAGATGGGAAATACCCAGAGTTAATGAGACTGTGGAACGACTGGAACTCTCAGATGTTGCTGATCAGAGCGTAAATCGGTGCCAACACTTTGGAAAACTGCTTTAAAATATCTACTAAATTTGGACCTGGCACAACTATGATCCAACAATTCCATTTCTGGGTATATACCCAACATGGCTTGTGTACTTATCTGTAGGTGTGAATACTTCAATAAATAGCACTGTCTGCCAGAGAGTGGCAATAAGGAGCCACAGAAGGATTTGACATTTCAGAGACTTCAGAAGGATTTGAGAGACATGATCAGATTTGCATTAGGAAGATTAATCCTTGGCTTTGTAGAGGATGGTAAGGAGAGGAGTTAAGGGGCTGTTTGTAGAAGTAATACAGCAATTATGAAGTCCCGAAATAAAGTAAGGGAGATAGGGATGAAGAGGACAGAGTATAGTTCCTATTTGGAGAGCAAACACAGAACTTGGGCAGGTCACTAAATTCCCCTGTGCTTCTGGTTTCTTCACTTGAAAAATATTAACAGTACCTACTTCACTGCTGATTATTTTGATGATTTATTGAGTTACAGGAGGATTAGCGATTGTTAAAAAAAAAAAGCAATTTAAGTTTAACTCTCACTGCGTACTATGCAGAGCAAGACGTAGGTATGGAGATGGAAAGCGTTTAGAGAAATATTTTAATTTGGCAAAGTCCATGGAAGCCTGTTTTCTCCCAAGCACAGGTAAAATCAGCTCTCTGCCCAGGACTGGGTCAGTTTGGGGACACAGGGTAGAATGCTGAGCTTAGGAAATGAGACAGGTCAACTAGGAACTGGGGGGAAGCGTAGGCATTTCCCCTCCTGCTCCCCACCTCCTCAGCTGAGATATGGGGCCGCTAAATGGGGCGGGGATTCAAGCTGAGGAGGTGAAGTTGGGGCCGGAAAAGATGCCAACGGGACGCGAGCTTTCCCGTGTTTAGCCAATTGGGTGCGCCCAGGACCGCCTCCATCTGGTGATTGGCAGACCGCGTCCCCCAGGGCTCTCGCGGCTTGTGGGGGCTTGTCAGAACTCTCGCGAGGGTGCGGGTCTTTCTGCGGTCCTTGGGCACTTGGTTTCGCTGCCGAGGGGTTTGCCCACTTCCGGTACCTCGGACCCCCTGGTAGCGTCCGTCCGCTCCCAACCTGGGCCGAGTGGCGTCGAGGGACAGTGGGCGCGGCCAGGGAGTTTGACTAGCCGCAGGCAGGTAGCTGCCTGCCTCGAACCCCGGACCCGCGGTGCCCGAGGCGGAGGTGAGGCGGGGCCCGGGCCGTGGGGTCTCTTAGCCACCCGAGCTCGGGCTTTTCCTCAAGTTCCCATGCCTTCTCCTCCGCCGGGCGGAGATTCGCGGTCCGCGCGGCTCTTCTGCCGCTTAGCAGGAGGAACCCAAGGTAGTAAAGCGCGACCTGATTGGGCCTTGCCGGGTACTGACGCTCGCTCCGTGTTGAACGGTTTGCAACATTGGAAGGGACATTTGAATTAAAAATAGTGGGCGAGTTTGTGGTTCTATGGTTAACGCACTTTTGAGTGCACGCAGTACGGTGAGATACAATGCTTAGAGGAATGAACTGCCTTGCTTAAATGGTCGGTTCTTGTCCCAGCCTGTTTATAGCTCGTGCTTATTCGGCTGCTGTACAGATAGTTAAGGGAGGGTAAGGTCACATCTACATTTTGAAGTTCGTTTCTAATGCAGACACTTAAAAGCAGCCCTTTTCACCTCCTAAAAAGGTAATGCAGATTCCTCCAGTAAAGGAGCGTGTCAATATGTATTGAATTCTTGCGCATGGCAAACAACAAAAAGTTATTTTAAAGTAGTTTATACTTAATATTAACTAAAAGTCTTGAGCCGGAGTATTTTCACTGAAGAAAAAGCACTGCCAAGAAGGGGGGGGCGGGGGAAGGCAGACGAGGATTGCGAAAATACTTAGACCTGTAGATACCTGAATTTTCATGTACCACGGTGAAACTTGGTAGAAAATAACACATGTTGGCGAGGAGCTGGAGAAACTGGCACCCTTGTGCGTTGCTGGTGGATGTAAAATGGTGTAGCTGCCATGGAACAGTTTGCTCGTCAAAAAAGTAGTTACCATGTGATCCCGCAACTCTGCTTCTTGGTATATAACCAAAAGTGAAAGCAGACTGGAGACAACAGCATCCATTCGCCTCTTATATATTTGGGAGTAAACTATTTTGGTATCTTGCATTTGGCCTATCAATTAGAAAAAAGATCATTTTGAACTAGCTCATTCTAAATATACAGCCAAGCCAGGTGGCAGCTTCCATAATGTCATTAGGATGTATTTTTATCTTAGGTTCTTTGGGGGGGGAGGGGAGGGGTAAATGCTCCCTGCACATAGTTAATGTAATGTATTTCAAAGATTATTTGCACTCTTCTGTTTTAATTTTGACTAAGTTTTCATGTGTGGCTTTTGACATCAGAGGAGTGATTGCTGCACGGATATTATTATAACACGTTTCAGCTGGCCACAACAGTGCTTTCAAGGTTGCCAGCTATCTTTGTGAGTAGATATGAGTTTTTTTTCCAACCATAAAAATGAGTGACCGTTAATTTAGAGCAAAGAATGCACATTAAACTTTGTGTAAAGTTAAGTAAATCTGCAAGTGAGACACCTGAAATGTTAAATGTAGTTTATGGGTGAAGTGATGTCAAGAGCAAGAGTCTTTGGCATAAAAGGTTCAAAGGCGGCAGAGATGATACCCATGATGATGCAAGAAGTAGCTGGCCAGTCACCACGGGACATATGAAAATTGAGAGGGTCGGAATTTGGTTTGCTCAAATAACCAACTAACTGTAAGAAAAAAACGGGTAAAAATTTAGACCAACTCATTCTGAAAGAAAACTTGCACCTGAAGAAATTTTCTAGCAAGATGATCTCTCCTGCTGTTGTGGTCAGGATCCTGTAGAGGCCAAACCAAAATAGAGCTGCCACTTGGGTGCATATTCAGGGCAGTCCTACAATTATTGGTTTTGGAGAAACTAAAATGAGCTGAGCTTCTTCAGACACTTTTCATTGGCTCTGTAGGTTTAAGCCACTTAACAGTGATTTAAGCAGAGTGAAACCTGTAGAGTTGAGTGTGCAAGTAGATGGCATGGAGCTAGTTTATTAGGAGGAACCTAGCAAATCATTAGCTTGGAATGAGGAACTCAACATGGGAGCATTTCTATCTTATTTCAAGTTGAGTTCATTTGAATAATCGGGTTACCTGCAGGCTGGGAGTTAAACCTTAAACAGGGAGCTAGAGATCAATGTAACTATGTGGAAACATCTCAAAAAACAGTGGCCACTTTTAGGCAGAAATATTCAGACTTGTAATAATGAAACTTTTTTGTTGTGGGAGACGTTGGAAACAGGTATTCAAGTCTGTTAGCAAGAAAGAAGCAGAAGAGGCTGCAAGGAACGGTGGGCAGTTTATGACACTTTCCTCTTCTACCCCCCCTCCCCCAAGCCCCCAATCAGGACCTGATTTTGGTCAAAAGTTAATGAAACCTCCTATTCGTTATGTAAATTCCAATTTTAAATAAATTTTCAGATATAAACTGTTCAGGTCTGCAACTTGGTATGACAGGTAGACAAATAGGGCTCAGTTTTGATCCTAACTTCTTTCATCAGAATGAGATTCCATAGGTTGAGAAGAGTTTCAAAAGGCAATACTGTAAATAGCAACATGTAAACAACACACAATCTTTTCAACAAGGACTGAGTTTTGACCTTCAGGTTTTCCATGTTTTATTTGACTGAGTGTGATGGTCCCATAAGAATACTGAGTTCAACAAGTGTGAATTTCTTATTCAGAAACTTGGGTCTTTGCCCTAGTTTCCTTACCAGTCTCTAGCATGAAGCTGCCATTATTCAGTATCAGTACTGTTGTAATAACCTAGATATTCAGTACATCAAAATTCCAATGTATGGATGACAAGTCATAGCCCTGTGGTAGTGACCCTGAGAAAACTAGTTCTATTAGTTAATACTGTTTTTTTTAAACCTCCCAGAAATTCAGTTTTACATTTTGTGGAAACATGAGACAAGTCTGTGTTACCTCTGGGACGCTGCTTGCCAAAGCTGTATGGCCTACAAGGCAAAAATTATATAACCAACATAATTTTTTCCTATTGTTTTAGTTTCGTTATCAGATTTTTACAACTTGAACTTTGGATGGTGTTTTGTACTGTGTAATGAAATTTATTAAAAGTATACATAAAGTGACACTCCAATAAATCATACATTGATTTCTTATACTTGTTTTGATAATCTGTATTTTATTATGAAGTATTTGCTAATCCTCCATATTTTAGCCACATGCTGATAACTCTTGTGATTCAAATCTAAGTAAATTTTAACTTAATTGCCATACCTCTGAAAATTTTTAAATTGACTAACAGTTAAGATCTACCCTCACCTACCCACCAGTAAGGTACTAGTGAAAACACAGCATAGGAGGTAGTGTGGTGTGGTGTGGTGAGGTTCCAGCTCTGGCTGTATATGTAATCTTAAGCTTTCCATCAGTATTGGATACCTGAGGCTGCTGTAACAGATTACTGCAAACTTGGTGGCTTACTGAGACAACAGAAATGTATTCTCTCACATTTCTGTGGGCCAGAAGTAAGAAATCAACTCCACTGGATCAAATCAAGTGTATGCTCCCCCAGGAGGCTCTGGGGGGCCGGGAATCAACATGTTCCTCACACCTTCCAGCTTCTGGTGGCTGCCAGCATCCCCCAGCTAGAAGCTGCATCACTCCAATCTCAAGGCCAACATTAAATCTGCTTCTTCACATGGCCTCCTCCTCTGTTCACGGAATCTCCTGCCTGCCCACAGAGGTGATCCAGGACAGTTTCCCCATCTCAAGACCCTTAACCTAATCACATCTGCAGCGACCCTCTTTCCAATACGGTAACATTTACAGGTTCGAGAATCTGATCTCTTCGGGGCCGTTAGCCTACTACACCATCTCTCTAGGTTTTCCTTCTGTCTTCACCATATAACCTCTAGAACAGTACTGCCAATAAACTTTCTGTAGCAATGGAAATGTCCTGTATCTGCTGTCCAGTACCGTAGCCCCTAGCCACAGGTGGGCTAGGGGCTTGAAACGGGGCTAATGCAACTGGGGGCCTGATTTTTTAATTTTAGTTTTGCCTTAAACAGCCACGTGTGACTAAGAGCTGTCCTGCTGGGCAGCGCAGTTCTAGCGTTTCTATAGTTCTAAACTCTGGACTCCGAAGCAACTAAAAAGGTGTTCTGTCTTTCCTCCAAAGTTTTACCCCTGGCTATAAAACTGCTCACATCTTTCACCTGCTATTGTTTAGTCTAGTGGACTTCAAGCTTTTTAGCCAAAAGCCTTGTTACTAAAAAAAAAAAAAAAAATTATTTGGAAAACCAAAGTATGAACAAGACTAACTGGCTGAAGTTGGTTAGTGGGAGAGGGAGGATCTGTGGCAGACCCAGGGTCTCCACCTGTCTACTACCCAGCCCAAGTAACTCCTCAAGGGGCAAAGAACCAACACCAGGACTCAGGGGAGTGGAGCCATTTGTGAAACCAGTGGTCATCCTTGGGATCTTTGCTAGAGCCTTCAGACTTTTGCAGTTAGCATCTGAAGTCACCTCATCTAGGCTTTTAGCCTACTGAATACCCTCTCCGCCACCACACTGCTAACTAGTCATAGCACTCAATTAAGGAAGCATCACAAGCCTTTACACTGGAGGCCTCCGTCAATGGACCAGTCGCAATCACATCCACTGATCCGCTTTGTTCATGGATGTGTTCACCTAGAATAGTACCTGGCCCTAGTAGGTGCTCTGTTGTTTTTTATGAACATTAAAGCCAGCATTTTAGTACCATATAAATATCAAATATCAGTATTTTCATTTTGATTCAATATTACAGTGATCATACGGTATTGTCAAAATGGCCCTATAGCACTACTAAGTGCTTACTACTCACCAGGGTTTTTTTAGTAACTGTCATTATTATCAACTTACAGATAAAGAAACTGAAGTTAAGAAGTAACTGGTCTAAGATCATATAGGGTGGGGATCTGAATCTAGCTCTTATGCCACTTCTAAGTAAGCCACCCACTTGAATGCAATTTATAATTCATTCCAACACAATTAACGATAGTACTAAACTTAATTATAAATGATACTGCTCCTTGTACTATAGTCATCATGGGTTTAGAGCTCAAGTTAAATATCTGAGAACCTATAGTATGCCAGGCACTTGGTTAGACCCCAGG